ATAGCGTCCTATGGTGTTCCTCTCCACCTGCCACGTGTAGACCCTGCTGGCGCACTCTAAAAGTTACCTAGTTCGTGCTGACGTAGTCCCATTTCAAACAGAACTATGTTAACATGCACTATGTGCCCTGTGGATCCTGCCCGCAGGGTCTACACAGGGCAGGTAGAGCGCCCTAGAAATCACGCAGCCCTCGCTTGCACTGCAGCGCTATGCAGATGAGCCCCAAGAATGCACTTGAATTCAAGTTTGAAAGGGGCTGGAGACTCCTGTTTCCCGCTAGGTAGAAAAAGCAGCAAGGTGTGTCCGGAAGCACTAGATGCAGAGATGCGTTCTAGTCTCTCTCTTTGTGTTGATTACTGTACCTGTAGGTTCCCACCAAGAGCCCTAGTTTGATAGTGGTTATGTCCTTCTGTGGATGATTTTCACACCTTTCCATCTGTATCTGGCAAAGATTTGAGCTTGTCTTTATGCAGTGTGACTTCAATCACAGTGCCTAAAGTTAAGCATGCATGAAAGTCTTTGCAGGATCAGGGCCATAGTTGGAAGAGATGGAAAAGAGACACGTTTGACTTGCATACGCATGATTTTCTCCAACTCAGATTTTATACCATTCAATATACTTTGCTTGGCCCTTCCCTACATCACCAGGGTCATCAATTCCTCAATCAGTGGCACTGCCCAGGCAGTTTTTAATAGCATGCAATAGATTTAGGTGAAGGTCTTGGAGTTCTTTGCTGTGGGTCCTGGCACGGCAGTAAACTCAGTGTTTTACAAAGGCTGGTTGGTTGAGAAGTGCAGAAAGAATGGTGTTATTAATACCCTTCTGCAGTAAGAAGTAGAGAAGAGGGATTGGAAAAGTGAGGTCGAAGGCAGGATTTTGTGTCTTGGGTAGGCAAAGTAGAAGGTTGGGCAAGGGCCATTCCTTTGGTTACATTTAATGGGGAAGTAGTCGCTGCTTGTGTATTCTGTGGCTCAGTAGTTGATTGTGGAAGGGAAGTTATTAGCAATCAAGCTAATGGTGCAGCTGTTTGTGGTTCAGTGAAGCCACTGAGGATGTAAAGAAGAAATGTGCAAATTAAGGGGTGAGAGCATTTTGACTGCCATCAAAAATGGATGTTTCCAGACATAAGCCAACCTCTAACTGAAGTGGTTAGGAAGAAACTTCCTCTGCATGCCACCTTCTGGGACTTCAGACACTAGGATACTGCACTAGATGGTAGTTCATATGTTCCCATGATGATAAAGCTGACAGCAAGGAGGAAGAGGGAGGAGACACTGAGTCCACCAATATCCTGATTGCTCTCCGTCTTTCTTCCACAGGAGCCCAGAAGAAATGCAGGCATGGATCAACAAAATCAATTGTGTGGCAGCTATATTTTCTGCTCCACCGTTTCCAGCTGCTATTGGCTCTCAGAAGAAGTTCAGTCGTCCGCTTCTGCCGGCCACCACAACAAAGTTATCTCAGGTGAGCTGTTGTTATAATAAGCAAATCTCCCGGGGTGGAGAGTCCTTTGGCCGGAGACAAGCTTGGAAGGTTCTTCTGAAACCTTGAAGCTATGCAATTTAGTAAAGCTCTTGTGCAAACAGTTTTGCTAACACCTCTAGCTAAAGGAGTTTCTCTCTACTTGCTTCTTAGGACCAAAAAGATTTGCAAAGTTAAGGGTGAGATGGGATGGAGACTGGATGTAATTTGTTTGTGCTTCTGAAGAAAGGGAGGTATCCCCTGTAGCCTTAGGCCCATTTACACATCAGATAGAAAGTCCTTGTCTCCTGGGTGTGGCTAAGAATGTAAGACATTTCAGGCACAGGAGCACAACATTATGCCTATACTCCTTGACCCTGTAAGATTTAATTTAATTGAGAGCCTTCAGTCTCCTCCTCCTGAAACAAAATGTAGGTGTTGCTTGAATTTAGGTATTTTCTTTGTGCCCACAGACTTCCCTGAAATCTTATCCCATGCATTTATTACTCTTTGGGCTTAGATGGGTGAGAAAAGTGGGCCATAAGCCACCTTCCTGGCTTATTGACTCTGGGGCCAGCCAGGGGCCAGTTCATCATCCAATGTCACTTTAGAGCAGCTTTAGGACTGCTCTAAGCTGTACACGCTGTAGAACAATGTGCTCTGGGCCCCCTCCCAGTGCATCTATGGGGGCTGTGAGGGTGATTGGCATTTAGCTAGCTAGGCTGGCTCTTGGCCCCCCCGCAGATTCTCCACCAGCAGGGGAGGCTCCAGGCAGCAGCGCACCAAGCAAGTGCCTGGGGTGGCAAGCCA